AAACACAATCAGAAATACAAAAGATCAAATCACAATCGACCCTGAAGAAATACAAAAGATCATCAGAGATTACTATATCCACCTATATGGAAACAAGCTTGATAAGAAATGGAGGACTTTCTGACATCACATAACCTCCCCAGGTTGAAACAAGAAGACATTGAGACACTAAATAGGCCAATAACATCCCAGGAAATTGACTCTGTCATATGAAAACTACCTCCAAAAAAAAAAAGCCCTGGACTGGATGGCTTTTCGGCAGAATTCTACAAAACATACAAGGAGGAGCCTGATACCAATCCTACTGAAAGTAGTTCAGGCAATTGAGAAGGATGGAATTCTCCCCAAACCATCTTATGAAGCTAACATCACACTGATACCCAAACTGGGAAAAGATGCAACAAAAAGAGAACTATAGGCAAATATCCCTTATGAACATAGATGCAAAAATCCTCAACATTCTAGCAAATAGTATCCAAAAACACATCTTAAAAATCATCCACCAAGACCAACTAGGCTTTATTGCCAGGATGCAGGGCTGGTTCATAATTGTAATTAAATACATGAGCACATGTAAAACACAAGAACCACATGATTATATCATTAGATACAGGAAAGCTTTTGATAAAATACAGCATGCCTTCTTGATAAAAACCCTCAAACACCTAGATATAGAAGGGACACACCTTAATAGTAAGTGCCATTTACGATAAACACACAGCGAACATAATGCTAAATGGACAGAAACTGGAAACATTTCCCGTGAAAACAGGAACAAGACAAGGCTGCCCACTCTCACCCCTCTTGTTCAACATTGTGTTGCAAGTCCTAGCTCGGGCAATTAGACAAGAGAAGGAAATCTGGGTATCCAAATAGGAAAAGAGGAAGTCAAGTTATCCCTCTTTGCTGATGATATGATCCTATACCTTGAAAATCCAATATAATCTGTCAAAAACCTGCTTTCACTGATAAAGGACTTTGGCAAAGTCTCAGGGTACAAAATAAATGTGCAAAAGACAGTTGCATTCCTATGTACCAACAACAAGCAGGCAGAGACCCAAATAAAAAGCACAATCTTATTCACAATAACCATAAAAAAATAAAATACCTCGGCATCTTCCTAACCAGAGATGTGAAAGACCTTTACAATGAGAACTACAAAACACTGCTCAAAGAAATTCAAGAAGACACAAACAAATTGAAAAACATTCCATGCTCATGGATAGGAAGAATCAAAATTGTTAAAATGCCTATCCTACCAAAGGCAATCTACAGATTCAAGACAATACACATTAAATTACCAATATCATTTCTTCTCAAACCTGGAAATGACAATACAGAAATTTATATGGAAACATAAACGACCAGGAATAGTCAAAACAATCCTTAGCAAAAGAAGCAAAGCAGGAGGTATTACACTTCCAGATTTCAAACTTTACTATAAGGCTACAGTAATCAAAACAACCTGGTATTGGTACAAGAACAGGCACATAGACCAATGGAACAGGACAGAGATTCTGGAAGCAAGGTCTCAATTTCTCAACTAACTCATTTTTGACAAAGCCTCCAACAACAACCACTGGGGAGAGTAGAACCTATTCAGAAAATGGTGCTGGGAAAACTGGCTGATCACATGCAGAAGATTAAAACAGGACCCCTACCTATCACATACACAAAAATTAACTCTAAATGGATCAAAGACCTAAATGTAAAATCTCAAACTATAAGAATCTTAGAAAACGCAGGAGACACCCTTATGGAAATTGGAACTGGCAACCAATTCCTGATCAGAACTCTGAATGCCCATACCATAAGAAATAAGATAGACATGTGGGACCTCATCAAACTGACAAGCTTCTGCAAAGCAAAAGAAACCATCAAGAGAGCAGGGAAACAGCTCACAGAATGGGAAAAAATATTTGCCTACTGTATATCTGACAAAGGCCTAACATCTCAGATCTACAAGGAACTCGAACATGCCACAAGGAAAAAAACAGCCCCATAAAAAAGTGGGCAAAAGACAGGAATAGACACTTCTCAAAACAAGATATACAGGCAGCCAAGAGACACATGAAAAAGTGCTCAGCTCTACTCACCATCAGAGAAATGCAAATCAAAGCCATACTGAGATACCAACTAACCCCAGTAAGAATGGCCATCATTAATAAAACAAACAACAGATGCTGGCGAGGATGTGGAGAAAAAGGAATGCTTCTACACTGCTGGTGGGAATGCAAACTAGTGCATACTTTTTGGAAGACAGTGTGGCAATTTCTGAAAGAACTAGAAATTGACCTTCCATATGACCTAGCCATTCCCCTATTGATAATATACCCGGAGGAACTCAGATCATTCTACAAAAAAATACCTGTACATGTATGTTTGTTGCAGCTCTATTCACAATAGCAAAAACATGGAACCAACCATGCTGCCCATCAAAGCTGAGCTGGATAAAAAAAAAATGTGGTACATATACACAATGTAATATTATGTAGCCATAAAGAAGGACAAACATGGACTTTGCAGAAATTTGGATGGATTTAGAGTCGATCACACTCAGTGATGTATCACAGAAACAAAGAACAGAGTACCATATGTTCTCACTCATAAGCAGACCTTGAACAATTATCATAATACTGTAAGAAAGGATGGCAGTAGTGGGAAACTGCCAGAGGATGGGGGGGATTGGCAGTTGAGGGAAACTGCTAGGGGAGGGAGCGGCAAACTTCATCAACAAGGGTACCTGCATAATCAACATTTGTATACCTAAACCCTGAATTGTACCCTATATCTTTAAAATAAAAAAAAAAAGAAAATGAAAGAAAAAACTTGTTTCTTTTAAAGCCAAACTAATTTCTCATTCTCTGTGAATAGCGGATCTTTTGGTGAAAAATATCTTATCTGAATTAGTCATATAGAAGCATCTTTAAAAGAGTCAGCCCCCTCAGTGAAGTGGTTGTGATTACCGCTAATTCATACGGATGGTTTTGTTTGTTGATCCACTAGTGGCATTAAGGTAAGACACAAGAAAGCTATGGGTGCTGGTCCTGGGTTGCTTTTGATGACTGGAAAGCAGCAGAAGCCGCAATTTGTCCACATCACAACATGCAATCCAGGTGGGAATACAGAGCCTGGTCTAAACCCAGCATGCCGTTGGTGAGTCTTCTGAGTCCTGTGGCTGAGGCCTGAGCGCGAGCCTGCCCAAAACTAATAAGCCTCACTAAGCCCCATCCTGTCCTTTGTTTAGATCCTCATCTTCCCTCTTGGAGCTGGCCATGGGGGATGCCTCTAGGCTATCCTGACAAGCCATGGCATCAATCCACATACACATAGACGCGGGATCTGGAAAGAATGCCTGACATATCGGATTTCTGAATGTTTCCCCTTGCCCTGCAGATCCATGTCCTGTTCTTCTCTGTGCTGCTCTGCACCCAGAGGGTGACTTACATGGACTATGTCCATGAGTTCTCTACAATCTGCCCTTCTGCTAGTGAGACGCTCTGGTCAGAGCCTGGGTGGTGGAGGAAGAGTATGGTTGAGTAATTATTTCTCCAGCACCTCTTCTCTCCCAAAAGCCACACCTTTTGCCAGTGGCTGTCTCCATACAGCTGCCCTCATCCTTTGAGTCTTTGCCAGACCCAAGGGTAGCAATGGCCCTGCTGGGGCTGGGCCCAGGAAGAGCAGCATCCTTCACTGGTGTCCTTAAACCATGTTCACTCCGTGGCAGGTAGTCCCTTACAGAATCTTCTAACCTCACTAGTTTTGTGTGCTACCTTTTCCCTCCTGTCCAGATCTTGACTGGTCCATTCACCAATGTCAGAATCATAATAAACACCAGATCCTTCTCTTGTGTCTTCTTCTGAGTCACTTGAAAGTGCTTGGCAATTTTTACTGGGTCTTGGACAAGAGCTGAGATAGGCTCTCCTTCCTGACAGTGCATTGCTGGTTGCAGCCCTGAACAGAATCCTCACAAGGCTGGTGCTCAGCCAGGGGCTTCCCTCCTGCTCTCCTGGTACTTCACACCTGGGAGCATCTTGGTGGTCCAGGCCTTTGAAGTGGAGGCTCCACTCAACAGCAGATGCGAAGAGCTGCTGAAGCCTGGGTCAGAATGGGAGGACCTTGCTTCCCAGTGCCAGCGAGAGCAAAGGTTCCCACCAGCTGGTGACACGCTCCACTGTCAGCCCACCAGGCAGGTCAGGTCCCCACTGGGAGGTGCGTGGGGGGCCTGAGGTGATGGCCAGAGAGTCTTCTCCGTGTTTGTCTGAGAAGCTCCCAGATATGTAATGTCTACAGTGCTTATAATGCAAATGATCTGGAGTGAAACAGGTGTCACTTTATTTCAGGAAGACTGTACGACTGTTTTAGATGAATTACTTTCTCCTCAGGAACTCCAAAGAAGAGACGTTAGCTTGCTCCTTGAATCGCTTCCTCATTGGGATGTCAGGGTGGCAAGGAAATTATTAAAGAGAAGGAAGGAGACTGAGGCTTTATGCATCCTTGCCCTGAAGGGTAGGAAGGCTGGGCAGGTGGGGAGCCAACAGCTGTGGAAGGCCATGGCACTTGCTTAGCACCAAAATCTCCACCACATCAGCAGACTTTCTGTCTTTACAGATGGGAAGGTGAGGCCATCGTCTGCCAAGTCCACAGGATGTGACAGGGACCCTATTTCCTCTAAGGCCATAGCCATGCTTATCTGTTCAACATCCATAGAGGGGTTGGATGGGGGAAAGAGAGAAGAGAGGCGAGGAAGCACAGAGTTCTCTTTGGTGGGAAACTAGGGATTCAGACGCTGGTGGGATCTTAGCACCATCAGGTCATTGGCCCCTGCTCCCAGCCCATGCCAGCCAAAGCATGGGCAGTCATTAGGGTGGGAGGTTTGGAGCAAGCAACCAGAATCCTAACACAACTACCCCAGTGAGAGCACACATCCTTCCCCACCCTCTTGAGGAGGTCAGGCCAGCTTCTTCCCTCACAGGGCCTCAAGGACACACGCAACTCACCTGCCTGCTCCAGAGCCACCATCGTTGCCTGCTCAATCAGGTCCCGCTCGATGAAGCTCCTGAAGTCCTCACTGTACACGCTCAGGTCGGGCAACTGGAATGTGTAGATGGGCATCTCCAGGGGGAACTGCTCGCTGTTGCATTCACTCGCCACGTGGGACCGGGCCAGGGAGACAATGGCTGAGCTGGCGTGGGAAATCCCCCGGGAAAGTCGCTTTTCTGCAAGGGGCGGAGGAAAGACGTCACAGGGACTGAGTGGCGTAGGCATGGCACTGTGTGCACACAAGCACATATGTGTACACAAATGCCCACAACACACACGGACACATGGACACATGTATGCACACACACCACAGGCATGTACATATACAAGTGCACATGTATACCTAAATGAACACACCATGTATATAACACACATGCTCACAATACATACATACTACACACCATGCACACATACACCCATGCACACACTCACACATGTGCATACGTGTACTCCCATAAGCAAAGAAATACATATTTACACACATAAATATACACACACTAAACATATACAAGCACATAAGCACACACAAGTGTACACAAAAGTATACATAGGTACATATGCGTACATACACTGACATATATATGTCACTTACCCACTTGCATACACATATGTAGACATATCACACAGCACACACATACACACATGCATGCACGCACATTGCATACAATGCACATGGACAGACATGTATACACATGCTCAGGCACATACCTCACACACTATGCACACACATGGGTATACATACATAGGTGTACTTGCACATACTACATACTATATGCATACACTGCATACATACACAACTCACACTGTGCACATGCATGTACACACACATACACATGTACACATGCTCACACATGTTCACACACACACACCTCCCTGCACCAGCCCTTCTATCCTACAGGCATCGATCCTCTTTTACCTCAAAGGCCTCTGCTGCTAAACTGACATCACCAGCCCCCAGCGTGGGCACTCACGCAAGCCGCAAGCCCCATGCACAAGTGCACATCAGCATCATCAGAGAGCACCCAGCTTGCTTCTGGGTCTGAAGTTACATCCAATTCAGTTTCGCAGAGCTGACCTCCCCCAGCACTAGACGGTGCAAGGGAGCCCGCTCTGTGCCTCTCTGCATGCAGATATTTAACAGCAAAATCACTCTAGTCAGGTGGTCTCCACTGTGCTTGGACTTTAAGACAGGTTATTTTACACAAAATACTCTGATAAACACATCCCAAATGGCCCTCCCCAGGACACACATATGAAATCATTCTATGCATTTCTCCTCTGTCTGGCTATTCTTTTGCTACAGCACTCTCAAAAATGATGGTCTACTCTGGCCTTATTCATCTTTGGCTTTGCATCCAAGGAATGAACAATGCAGTGTCAAGAGTTTCTCTAGGTACATGTTACCTTGTTAGTGACTTGATCACTTGAAAAGTAGATGCATCTGTTGTTCCCTTGATGCTGTAAAGCATGCTTGTTTCCTTAAAGTCCTATGTCTAATGGCTAACATTTAACATAATAACAAGAATTCTTAAATATATAATGTTGGCAACAGGTTTTTTTTTTACAGTCAGTATTTGCAATAATGGAGAATTCTTTGAGCAAGGCAGTAGTCCTTGCTTATTTAGCTCATAAAAGCAAGGTCACTGATGTTTGAATATTGAGTACTGTCTAAACCCTCAGGCAAATTCCTAAGTATATTCACTGAGGTCCTAAGGATGCCCACTTCATTCCAGACCTGTGTGCTCACTGGTCGGGTCTGTGCTCCCGCAATGCACCTCCGAGGTGCACCGCTGATCGGCACAACAGCAGCCACACAGAAAACCCCAGTCTGTACCCTCACCCAGCTCCGCATCTCCCCACTTGCAAGAGCACTGGGCAGAAATGGCATTCATGTAATTTTGTTAAAACAGACTAAAAAGTAGAGACTTCTGATCCTGTGGCAAGTTTGTTTTAAGCCCAAAGTTGATTCTCAGAGACCTCATTATTTGCCCACTAAAATGAAAGCTGCAGAGACAGACTATATTCCACAATGAATGGTTCTGATTCACTTCAATTTCATTCTAAGACCAACAGAATTAAGTTCTTTTATATTTGGAGGAAAGGGCAAAAGAGAAGTCAAACCACACAGGCCATTAGAGAGAGGAGTGATGGGCACGCAGGGACTGACATGTCTGTCATTAGACGATGGCCCATCACTTCAGTGCTGGTCCAATCCTCAAGCAGGAGCAGAGGAGGCCACACGTCTTTCTGCCTCCTGAGCCATGCTGAAGTCACTCATCTTGCAACAAGCTACCTTTTCTGTATATGGGAGAGAAGAAAAGCCCCATCCCTCGGACATGATGGAGATGGACAGCAAGCAGTAGAGAACTGGGGTGCTATATGCACCCATGGTCTGCCGGATGGACAGCCTCAAGGCTGCTCTCAACAGTGGGCACTTTCTGGCCAGGGCCATCCTTCCTCCTTCTGGGTTTATCAACCAGCGCCTGTTCACCAAATGCTGACATGCTGCCAGGGTCTTAGGAAGACTGTGATTCATGTGTGATGCGATGGTATTAAGCATTCCAAACATGGAATATTTGGAGTGTGAAAGAAAAAACACTTTTGAACCCAAAACAGACTTTTTTGAAGATCATATGAGAAATATATGCTCCTAACTCATAACATCTATCACCACCTCTGTAGATGCACGTGTGCAATCTCAGGCACACACACACATACACACACACTCTCTCACACTCACATATGCATACATGTATATACACACTCACATATACACTCTCTCATACACACTCACATATACACACAATCATACACACTCTCTGACATACACATACACACACACAATCACATATACACATGCTCTCCCATATACATACACACACACTCACAGACTGATTCTTTAAACATGAACTCAGTGATCCTTCTTTTGGAGGTATAGATGAAATTTCTACAGGAATTTTCATAATCAAAGTTATGCCCCAGAGAAACACAGAGAAATTAAAGGAAAAAACAGTGGGAGAACATATAGAATTTCCCAATCACTGACAAAGCCTACTTAAACACTGATCATTTAGGCCAGGGGAGGTATATTAACTATATTTTCTTATTTCTCATATTTCTGATGCTCTGGCCCCTGACTGGGAGAGGCTGCTAGACTGTTCTAGAAGACAGCAATGGATTTGCCCAGGAGCGTGCTTTTCATATGAAACCAGCCCATCCAGAGTACACACTCGGAATTCCTCCTCCAGGGGCTCCTACCCTCCAGGGGGCAAGATTCCTTTGTGCTCATCACCCTAGGCCAGGTACCAGACAACTGGAGACAGGCCCCATGCTGCAGAACCTGAAGTGATGACTCAGACCAGTCGGGTGAGGGTCTGCTCACACTGCTTTGCATCCCCCACAGAGACCACCATGAAGGCCCTAGTCCAGGCTTACCCCACCCCACCCTGGCCTCCTGATGCATCTTGATGCCTCCCCCTGTGGCCTTGCATGGTGTGCTGCACCCTGTCCTCTTGGGAACTGTGAGTAAACTTCTTACTTCATGACAGTCATTTCAGTGCCTTCATATCTTACCACACCTGATTAAAAGCCATCCTAGGTACATTTTAAAACAAGTAGACAAACCTTTTCCTAAAGGGTCAGATATAAAATTTTTTGGCATCGTGGCTCACATGTTTTCTTGGTATCAACTGCTTAACTCTCTCTGGAGTGCTAAAGCAGCTGCAGACAACACATACATGAATGGGCATGGGTGTATTCCAAAAAGTTTTATTTAAAAAACAGGCCAGATTTGGCTCATGGGTCACCATTTGTTGACCCCTGATTTAGAATAGGGAATATTCCATTTTCCATTTTATCACACTATGGTTTCAGGAAGAGCTCAATACAGGAGACATAAGTCCAATTCAGAATCTCTGTAATTCAATAGGAGTAGATTGTTTTCTTTTTCTTTTTTTTTTTTGAGTTAGAGTCTCACTCTGCTACCCAGACTGGAGTGCAGTGACCGCTCCCGGCCACCCTAGCCTTGACCTGCTGGACTCTGGCGATCCTTCCACCTCAGCCTTCCGAGTAGCTGGAACTACAGGAGCGCGCTACCACGCCCGGCTCATTTTTGATTTATTGTAGAGATGAGGGCTCGCCAAGTTGCCCAGGCGGGTCTCAAACCCGCGGGTTCAGGCAATCCACTCACCTCAGCCTCCCAAAGACGCGGGATTACATTACAGGCTGAGCCACCAAGCCCGGGAGTAGATATGATTGTTCACAAAGTTCAGTTAATAGGATTATGTTGTGATATTATTTTTCTTAAATGATATCTGAGAAAAGCCAGAACACAGCAGGTAACAGTTACACTTATTAGGTCTTGATCTGGAAGCAGAGAGAAGGGTCCTTATGATGCCTCCTCATCAGGAGGATAAGAGTGGATTGGTTTATTTGCTGCCAGACCAAAAGAGCAGGGATAGTCACACTATCCTGTCTGGATCCCACTGCAAGAAAGATGTTAAGGGCCTTAACTATGTGCAATTGGAAGATATGGTTCCTCTGGAGACAAGTTGGATGACAGAAATGAGACAGACTTAAGAACAATGCAAGAGGTACAAGACAGTGCACACACCTCATCATCTTCTCCAAAGCCCACCAGAAGATTTCAGTGGTAGGAGAATAGGAATGGGCAAAGCCCCATGGAGAGGAGCTGGGGGGGGCATCTGGTTAGGTTTTTCCTTCCCCAGCATGGCCTGGGCAGATCTCTGCCTCCCTTGTCATCTGAAGCCTGGCCTAATGTCTGCTGGAGGAACTCCAGGCAGTGCCAGAACGCAGCTGAGTGGGGCACCAGGAACAGGGAGCACTGCCTTCTCTCCTCCTCTAGCAGTTACAACAGAGGGTGGCAGCCCCTGGAAACAAAATTTATAGAAAAGAAATGCTGGGAGCTCTTCTCAGGAGAAAAGCCAACTATGGGACAGGGAATAGACAGGGAACATTTAGAGCCCAAATTAACCATCCAAGGTTCTCCAGCTTGAGTGCTTCCACCACTCTCATTCAGAGGAGTACTGTAACCAGTGCCCATGCCCCTGTGCCTATCCCCTGATGCGCATCACAGGCTCTGGGAGCTCTCAGGGAAACTCAGCACACATCTGAGGAGTGCAGGTGCCCTTAAAGAAGGTTAGCAAAGCACTCGGGCCAGGGGACCAGAACAAAGGGGCCTGGAAGAGGAGATTAAAAAACGAGCCTTGTAAATATGTGCAAAAAGACAAAGAGAATATCAGAATGTGAAATAATAATAATGTCATAGAACGAATTTGTAATGAAAAAATTTGAGTGGGACCAACAATGCATTCATATGAAGAATGAGTCTCGATGTCAGAACATCAGGTCAAAGGAACCTCTAAGGAGACATGGGAAAGGCTGTAAGAACATGGGGGAATGGGAGACTGCAAAGTGCTCAGGGAAATTAATTGTCATTTAGAGCTTTTATTCCACTACTTTTTAGGCACTCAAGACCTTAAGAGAGTCATCGTTAAAAAAACCCTTTTTGGAAGCAGTCTTTGAGCAAAACAGAAATGAATACATGTAAATAAATAAAGGAGTTAACTGCTGTCTGAATAAGCAAAGGCAACAAGAAAGTAGAGACAATATCAATATGATTGGAAGATGAAAAGGGAGCATACAAAAGCATATTAGCACACACAAATTTTTCATACTAAAATATAGTTGTTGATAAGTTTCTAAAAATAATAGAAAGAAAATCTAAATACTGGTTTTACTAGAATAGATGTAATTACAGCATGAGCAAGAGTAGAATATATAACTTTCAAACCAGTAGAAGAATTTAGTTAGCTAGATAAAATAGGAAAGATGAAAGGATGAAATTCACTACTCAAAAGACAGAAATTCTTGAATTGGATAATAAAACCTGTCAACAAATTACTTATTCCATGAAAATATGAATCAAAAGAAAGCTAGGATAGTGGTTTAATATTAACAAAAAAAGATTTCAAGATAAAAACCCTTATATCAAATGATTTGACAGAGACATCCTATATATTGATTAAAAACAAAAACTATTAGAATAAGATAGCCTAACAATTGTGAATACACATACACTTAACAATACAGCCTCAAAACAAATTCAGCAAAAAGAATGCAACTAATGTGTATTAACATTTATAAGGTAATTGTGGCTTTCTAGATAACAGAATAAGCAGGCAAGAGTAATCCAAGATATAGATTCAAATATAGCTCGAATGAGAGGCTGAGCTAATAGAAACAAAGACAATACTCATTCACAACAGTTCAAGAGGTCTGCCTAATGCAATAGGACAAGAAACTGAATTAATTGTGTAAATATGAAGATTACTTCAAGTATGATTGCTTACTTAGAAGATCCAAGTGATTCTCTCAGAACAAACTATAAGAACCAATAAGAGAATTTATATAGGTGACTGAATAAAAGATAAGTAAATAAACATGAATTGCTTTTTTCTATGTCTAAAGTCTTAACAGGAAAATAATACAAGGAGAGATATACGTTATGCTCTTGGATGGGATAGCAATATTACACATAGCAGTTATTCTTAAAATGAAATAAAAAATCCAGTCCAATTCTAATCAGAATTACAATTTTAAGGTTTATGTGGCAGAATAAATATTGAAAAACATTTTTTAAAAAAGGAAATATGTTTAAAGTAAGGCTGTATGAAACTACTACAGTCAAGTGGAACAGGGTGGGCAGCTCTATGGTAGACAGAACAGAGTCCAGAAACACAGTCAGGCATGTCTGAGAATTTAAAATACAGCATTTTAGTTTGATGAGAAAATGATGCTTTGTTTAATAAATGTGCTTGAATATCTCACTCTTGATCCAGAAGAAAGCAAAACTAGATTCTTTGTTATCTATAAAAATTTCAAATTGATGAAAAGACTTGAAGAACAAAATTTAAATAAAATATAGGAGCATATTTCAGTAACTCTGTATTCCTGGAGACCTTTTAAAGTGAGAGAAGAAGCTCACCAGCCACGAAAGCATGGCATTGTAAATATTTTACATGGGAAAATCCTCTTAAAACAAAGTCACAAGGCAAACAACAGTGTGAAAAACACAAATACATAAATATGAATAATATGTTACAGTCTTAGTTACAAAGAAAGCTACAAATTGATAAGAAAAAGCAAGTCAATTAATAGGAAAATGGACAAAGTATGCGAACAGGCACATTACAGAAGGGGAAACCCAATGGCTAACAAGCAAATGACAAGACGGAAGTGAAGATGAGACATCATTTTCCACCCTCTAGAGTAGAAAAACAGTGGACAACAGCAATAACATCCAGTTCTGGCAATTGTGAAGGGAAACACCATGTTCACACATGATGAGCACAAATGTGTTTGGAAAGAAGTCCTGAAGTTACTAAATTAAAAACACACATGTTGGCATAACACACCCACTTTGGGAATACAAACATATGGAATTGAAAGCATCTGGATTCAAGATTAGAGATCTAAAGATATGTGTTCCAGCATTGATTGTAGTGGCACAAACAAGCAAACAATAACAACCACAAAAAACCCCAGAAAAGCCATGAATACAGGAGTGATCTAAAAATTAATGCCTGCTGTGGACTAACATGTAGCTGTGAGGAGGTAATGTTCATGAGCGAAACAAGCACTTTTCACAGGGTGACATGCATTTAACTTTGTGTTTCCATTTTGAACCTACATAGAGAGAACAGACAGAAAGACAGAAACAGACCAGGATGTCATCAGTGGTTATCACTTCAGTGAGATTTGGAAAGTGAGGAGAAAGATATCCTTAAGTTTTTCTTGTATATCTTTGTATCGTTTCTCTTGCTACAATAAGAATATCTTACTTTTGTAAAAAAAAAAAAAAGAATAACAAAGATGGAGCCCATCGGACAATGACTACAATATGATGTTGAACAGATGTGGAGATTATGCTACCAGGGAAATCATGAAAAGAACTAGAGAAGTTTGGTCTGGAGAAACCAGCATTCCAGGAGAAGTGCTTTTAATTGCTTAAAGGGCAGCTGCAGCTCTTGGGGAGTGGACTCACTCTTCGGCTTTTCTGAGAAGGCAGGAGGCAGGAGCCATGGAAAGAAGTTGCCAGGACATTCCAGTGCAGTGTGAGAAATGATGTACTGAGAGCCCGTTTGCCTGCACCTGTAAGGTGGTAACCCTGCCATTCTCTGTACCACCCAGCCCACCTGCAAGCCATCAAACCCTGGCAGCCATGCCCTGGCTCAATTCCTCAGCGGTACCTTGGGCAATGTCGTCCTGTCTCTGCAGGCAGGGTCGCTCCACCTTATGTCCCGGCTGGGGTGGCTCTCGCTCAGGCGGCTTGGGACACCTCCCTTCATTGAACACATGCGGCAGGTTGGCTGTGTGCACCTGTCGGAGTTGCTCATAGTCACTCAGAGCAGCTGTCAGGTCCCAGTTTTTGCCTGTGGGCAAGAAACGACAAGAGATGACATTGTGAATGCAAGATGAATGGTCTCATTGTGACAAGAAGGGCTTTCCATTAGCATATGAACTAATGAACTTTCTACCAATAGTTCTCATTTTTCAAAGGGGTAAAATAGCCTTCTTCATAATCTCTGAAAATAGAATTTCACACCTATAGTGACATCCATCTGAAGTATGTGACTATACCAGGCTCATAGCCTTTAGAGTCTCTCTCTCTCTCTCTCTCTCTCTCCCTCTCTCACACATATACACACAAACACAGCCCTAAACATCACATCCCTAATTACCACACCCCCTTTTAAAATCAAGTTGTAAAGCTTACTCTCTGAAGGCAGCAAAGCATAAAATAAAAAATAAAAATAATTCCCCAAGTTTCTTTGGGTTTTTGCTCAGTGTTTCTTGAAGTTTAATAAGAGAAAAGCAGATACTTGGGAGGGACTTACTTGCTAGAGAGCCTTGGTAGGAGGCAGACTTCAGAGTTCAAGCCCTGCACTGGTGAACTGCCAGGCAGGACTGCCAAGCATCCAGGACAGGAGCTTGGCAGGGTTCCCCAGCTCACCTGGGGTGCCGGAGCTGTCACTTTGCAGCACTAGGGGGAGCTATTTTGGGGAGCTGGAACATGGTGTGTGACGTCCTGACTCCCAGGATTGATGGAATTTTGTGGTAGGAAGGAGCCATCACACACTGTGTGTGATTTAGTTACGCATCACTCGGCAGCACAATAGGGCAAATATATAGTCACTAATAACTTATTGTATATTTTATTTTATTTTATTTATTTATTTATTTTTTGAGTTGGAGTCTCACTCTGTCGCCCTGACTGGAGTGCAGTGGCCGCTCCCCGCCACCGCAGCCTCGACCTGCTGGGCTCCGGCGATCCTTCCACCTCAGCCTTCCAAGTAGCTGGAATTACAGGCATGCGCTACCACGCCCGGCTGATTTTTTGATTTATTGTAGAGATGAGGTCTCGCTGCCCAGGCGGGTCTCGAACCCGCGGGCTCAGGCAATCCACTCATTGTATATTTTATTTTAAAATTCTTATTTAATTTAACTTCATTTCCTAAAGATAGTCTCATTCTGTTGTCCAGGTTGGAGAGCTGTGGTAATAGCTCACTGCAGCCTCGACCTCCCAAGCTTAAGTGATGATCCTCCTGCCTTAGCCTCCCAAGTAGCTGGGATTACATGCACTTGCCATTATGCTCAGCTAATTTTTTTTTTATTTTTTGTACAGACAGAGTCTTGTTATATTGCCTTGGTTGGTCTTGAGCCCCTAGCTTCAAGCAATTGGCCTACTCTGAAAGTGCTGGGATTCCAGGCATGAGCCATTGTGCCGGGCCTGTTTATTTCAAAATAACTAAATGAGTAGATTTAGAATATTCCCAACATAAAGAAATAGTAAATGTTTGAGGTGATGGCTATCCCAATCACTCAGATTTGAGAAGGCTTTTCTGAGAAGGCAGGAGGCAGGAGCCATGGAAAGAGGTTGCCAGGACATTCCAGTGCAGTGTGAGAAATGATGTACTGAGAGCCCGTGTGCCTGCACCTGTAAGGTGGTAACCCTGCCATTCTCTGTACCACCCAGCCCACCTGCAAGCCATCACACCCTGACAGCCATGCCCAGGCTCAATTCCTCACACAGTGTAAACTTGTACCAAAATATCCATGTATGTACAACTAATACATATCCATAAAAATAAAAATAATTAATAAAAAATAAAGAATTAAAAGTTTAGCCTTAATTTTAAGGAGGAAATAAATCTTAGCCTTGCCTGGTTAGCTTTGAAATGCAGGTATTAACTATACTGACTAATTATATTCTGGATGATGTCATAGACACAGTAAAATGAAAGTTTAAATGTCTAAAACAATATCTAAACATCTTCCTTTTGTCTTTCTATTGCAGACTTTATACTATTAATCATGACATTTACCTTACATTACAGTCATTTACAATTTAACCATATTTTCCCCTCCACGGTCAGCTAACAAAGAAGATAATTGAAGCATCTTTGCACTGTTGCAGTGGGTAAGAAAAGCAAATTAAATCTGGGTCACCCAACAACAACAAAAAGACCAGCAGGTTTGGTGGATTTTTGTAATTGATAAAAGATAGGGGCATTGATGCAATCAGCCTCATTATTGTTAGTAGTAGTAGGGGGGAGGGGGAGGGGTGGCAGTGACAGTAACAGCCTTGGTGTAGGTGAACCGAACTAAAGAAGCCATTGAAGAATGCACTTTGGTTTTACACATGACTAACAATCACAGTGTACAAAGTACTACCAAGGTGGCCCAAACCTGGGATTTTGAAGTTTAAGTGGTAGTGACTATCAAATGGGCAGGAAAGTTTTAGGGTTCTGGTTCTAAGAAGAGGAGGACAAGGTCTCTCCTTTAGATGACTTATGCCTTAGCTGGGGCAATGACCTGGGTATATGCCTTGCTCTAAAGCAAGGGTGGGGAAATGAATGCCAAGAAAGGGCCTAACCCATGCCAAACAGGAAGGTCAAGAAGAGGGGAGCACTCTTGCCCCAGCTTCTACCATGAAATGCAGACATGCTAAAACTGGTATCAGTAGTATCAGTGGCACAATGAGCTCTGGTTGTGCAGAAGGATGGGAGAAGGGGCTTTTGAAAAGCCTGTGTGGAGCACCTGAGGAGCTCGGCTTGTAGCAGGGGCATCACTGTTCTCAGTTACGATGAACAGCAAGTACTATCCTGAAATGTCACAGACAGGAAACAAGGTTATAGCAGCTTCCTGCAGTCCCTCACTGGATACCTGTGCAGCTTGGGTTCTTCCCCCTGAGCTGCTTTCCCCTGTAGGGCTGCCCCAGGCACAAGACTGGGACCTGGCAGAGCTTGGCCACCTGGCCCTGCTGGCTGGACACTGCTCCTGGAGACCAGACCGCTTCCATTCCACCAGGATTCTCTTAGCCACAGAAAGAGCCTGCTGTTCTTGTGCATTCCCAAGGCCTCCCTTCCACAGTTTCCATCACAGGCCCTTTCAGGCCCGAACTGAAGGCAGGAACAGTTACAACGCAGGACTTCAGTGGGCCAGCATGCAGCCCATGCTGCAGAACAGGGCATATTTCCAGTGCCAGTACTTGTTAGGGACTCAGTTGTGACAACATTGAGAAGGCATGTGTCTGGCCATCCATAAAGACTTGTGCCTCCTCAGTGACCTCACATACTGCCCATGACCCCCCTGGATGCACCTATCACCACCTTGGTGTCATACCCATGCTCACACTCACTTTGCTCTGTATCCCTCACCAGTGAGCATTCCAGTCTAGCCTCTGCCACACAGGTAGCAAACAGGGATTAGGGAAGTCTCAAGTGAGAATAAAGATGGAGGTGAGGAGGTGGCAGTGGCACTGTCCACAGTGCCCAACTGGTCCCTTCTGAGGTTTTAGAGAATGCCTCAAGAACTCATTACTTTAGTGTCCATGTGTGTGGAAAGGGTCCAAGAGGCCACTAGAGTGAGAAGAAAACACAACAGACAACAGGCATGTTCATCAGTTCTTTAGGGAGTCAGAGTCCCATGAGACATGTTTCCTACTCGGCATAATTGCCCAGCTGGAAGCTCAGGAGAACAAGGATGGTGAGTGATATCTGACAGACACAAGGATGGGGGATGCCCAGGTGATGAGCTTGGTACTGACGGGTGGAAAAGGCTGTGTCTAAAATCAGGAAGCCCAGAGGATGGGGACCCTGGTGGCCTAGAAGCAGGGCTTGGTGCTTAGAGAACATGTGTGTCATATGGAAGATCAATGTCTAGTTCTTTCAGAAATTGCCACATTGTTTTCCAAAGAGGTTTTACTAGTTTGTATTCCCACCAGCAGTATAGAAACATTCCTTTTTCTCCACATCGTTGCTAGCATCTGTTGTGGTTTTATTAATGATGGTCATTCTTACTGAGGTTAGGTGGTATTTCAATGTGGTTTTGATTTGCATTTCTCTAATGATTAGTGACATTGAACACTTTTTCATGTGTCTGTTGGCTGCCTGTATATCTTCTTTTGAGAAGTGTCTATTCATGTCTTTTTCCCACTTTTTAAAGGGGCTGTTTTTTTCCTTTCAGCACATTTGAGGAACTCAAATCATTCCACAAAAAAGATATGTGCACATGCATGTTTACTGCAGCACTATTCACAACAGCAAAAATATGGAACCAACTGTGCTGCCCATCTAAACTGGACTGGCTAAAAAAAAAGTGGTACATATACACAATGGAATATTACACAGTCATAAAGAAGGACAAACATATGGACTTCACAGCAATTGGGATGGATTTAGAGTCTATCATACTCAGTGATCTATCACAGAAACACTCATATGCAGACCTTGAACATTTACCATAATACAATAAGAAAGGGATTGGCAGTAGCAGGATATTGCTGGAGCTGGGGTGGGGGACAGAACATCAATTAGGGTACCTGATCTCAAACCAGGCAGAATGGGGACCAAAGGGAGTCCTAAACTTTATCTGTATGATGACCACTTCTATGCATGATCCTGAAGTGTACCCCACATCTTTAAAATAAAATTAAAAAACTAACAAAAATAAAGAGAGCATGTGCTACAAGCTCCCCTCTTTTTTTTTTTTCTGAGTTGGAGTCTCACTTTGTCACCCAGACTGGAGTGCTGTGGCCGCTCCCGGCCACCGCAGCCTCGACCTGCTGGGCTCCAGCGTTCCTTCCGCCTCAGCCTTCCAAGTAGCTGGAACTACAGGCGCCCACTACCACGCCCGGCTAATTTTTTGATTTGTTGTAGAGATGAGGTCTCGCCAAGTTGCCCAGGCAGGTCTCAAACCCGCGGGCTCAGGCAATCCACTCACCTCAGACTCCCAAGGCGTGGGATTACAGGCTGAGCCACCGAGCCCGGCTCAAGCTCCCCTCTTATCTTTTCCATTTTAAGTTACCGAGAGACCCAAGAGATGCACGTCAAGTCAGGATGAGATGGAAAGGCACAGAGTCCTACAGAGG